TGTGTAATTTTAAAATATATTTATCAATTTTTAATCATTTATTGTTATCGTTTTATCAATTTAATTAAAATCAGATTGTATTTAATGGTTTTTTATTTATAAATGATGTTAAAATGAGTTAAATACATTTATTTTGATTGTTTGAAAATATTCATTATTAAACTTTGATATTGAATTTTTATAAAATGATTATATACTATTCATATTAGTTATGAGTATTTTTCATTCGATATTATTTAAGTTATTATTCAACCAAGAGATGTTATTGATTTTAATACATTATGTCTTCAAAATAAACAAGAAGAACAAATAAATTAAAACATTATTCATGTCATATCAAATTTAATGAATTCATTAAATACAACAATAATAAAAAAAAAAGAAAGAGAATGAAATAAAAGAGGATAACATTGATATATTTGAATATTTTAAATAAGAAGTTAAAGAAATATTGTCAGATATAAGTTCAAAAGAGATCCAAAATAGTTGAATGATAATAATGAATTAATAATTAAAATACATAAATAAATAAGGAAATTAGTAATAAGTAAAAAAATATATAACAGTAATAAAGAAGATAGTGTAACAAAGAAATAAATGATAAAATGTGGTATTATTAGTTAAAGAAATAATGTTTAGATAATGTATTTAGATAAAAAAAATATATATATATAAATAAAAATAACAAAGAAAAATATAATAGTATAATTCTATTTCATCAAAATTTTTAATAAATAACATATCAACATTATACAAATATATAATAATACAACGACTTAATAAAAAATAGATAAATTAAATAGAATGAATTATTGTAATAAATTCAAAATAAACTATATAAAAATAAATATTAAAATACATTAAAGATAAGTAATATATTCTCAATTTATTGTTAAATTAATTTGAATTGTACTTAATTTTATTCAACTGTATTGTTAAATGAATTAAATTATGAATCACTTGTTTTATTTATTCTTCTATTTTAATAATGGATGATTAAATTAAGTCATCTTCTGTTATAAGTAATGTATTAAATAAATCAAATAAAATTATAAATTAAGAGGATTATTAGAATATGAACATAAAACATGATTTTTAAATATTATTCAGTATTCATTCTAAAATATATTTATTATTGTTATAAAATTATTAGTTCATGCAAAAGAATGAAAGAGTATTAGATAATAATCAAATATGATAAAATAACAATCAATGAATATGAATATTAATTATTTCATTTTATTTGACAAATATATTACCTTCAAAAAGTATATCATTATTCTATTTGTTACTTCATTAGTTTATATATTAGAGTATTATTATCAAATGAATGATATTACTTTATTATTATTTAAATGAAATATATTAAGTTTATAAATTTAGATAATCAAAATTTAATACAATTAATCAACTGAATGAGATTATCATTATAGAATAGAATGTACACCAAAACTTAAATAATGTTAATACAGTTATATAAAGATTCTCATTTACAATATTTTAAATTTTATATAATAAAACTATAGATATTTTAAATATTAATGAAATGATAAATATTTTTTTATTTAAAACAATATTATTATTAATTAATGTTAAAAATATGATAGACTAATGAAAAAAAATTTAAATCTAATTAACATTCTAGTATTTCAAAAACTTAAATGAATAATGAATAAAAGTCATAATCGAAATATATACAGTTTTATTAATACTGAAAGAGTTTATAATATTTGGAAATGTCTTTAAAATTAAATGAAATAAATTGTTGTTGAATAATGAACAAACAGTTAATTCTATTATTTTTTACCATTTAGTTTATTTCGAATAATAAAAATGACAAATTCACTTTTTATGATAAAAACTGTACTGAATCAGATGTCAGTCTCTTCACAAACTGTTTAATTAAAAGTGATACACTTCTTATACAATCTTTTCTTTAATAGATTTAGTAAATAAAAAAAAATACAAACATTATTCATTAAACCATTCTTTAGTATTTAATTGTCTTGATTAGTTATTGGGTAAAATTTAATCCAAGAGAAAGTTATCTTTTGTTAGATATGAATATACTAATAAATATAAAATTTTTAAAATCAAAACTTCAAAATAACTTATAAAAAATTTGAACTTTTTATTAAATTAATGAGTCTCAAAGTCAGAATTTTAGGATGTGGTGGAAATATTGGATTTAAAAATCAATCCACTTGTTTGATGTGTTTTTGTGGTGAGTTAAATGAAGAAACTAAAGTAACATTAATTGATGGAGGAACAGGAATAATTCGATTAAAAGAAAAAGAAATTCCAATGATCAAAGATGTTGTTTTAACTCATGCCCATATTGATCATACTTGTGGTATTTCATTGTTAGTTGAGTCATTTTACAATGATCAATTGATTCAAGTTTGTAAACCAACTCTCCATTGTAGTCATATTGTGTTAGAACAATTAAATGATAGTATCTTTAAGAAAGGGATATGGATGAACCTAATAGAAAAAGGATTTATGACATTTCAAAGTATAGAAGATGGAGAACAATGTGTTTTGAGTAATGGAATTATTATTACTGCAGTCAAATGTCTTCATAGTGTATTGACCCTAGGATACATTGTTTCTAACAAAACTAGTGCATTTGCATTTACTGGTGACACAACATACTACGAACCTTTTTGGAAAAGAATTAGTGAAGAGCCCAAATTAAAGGGAGTAATTTGTGAAGTTTCTTTATCTAATGAACTTGAAAACCGTGCTTTAATTTCAAACCATATGACTCCAAAAATGTTACAAGAAGGTATTAAACATTTATCACCAAATATTAAAGTCTATGCTACTCATATTAAAAGTTATTCATATTATAAAGTAATAGAACAATTAAAAGAATTAGATCGTGAAGTTATTGTTCTTGAAGATGAAATGGTTTTAGAATTTTAATAAATTTTTATTACTTATCATTCTTTTGTTTATTGATTTATAGTAATAAATCGTTTGTTTCAATTTTTTCAAATACTCTCTTGATCTCTTAATCTTAATTTATGTTTCTTTTTTTTGGATTATTTTCATCGTTTTGTCTTGCACAATGTCAGTCCAGAACACCTATCCTTCTTGTACCTGGTATTATGTCTACTATTTTACATGCAAAATTAAATATCCCAACGTCTGTACCTTATGAAATAATCCCAAAAGAATGTTTAAGACAAAGTGATGAATTTAGAATATGGGAGAATATTACCTTCTTGTACAAATATCCACAATGTAATTTAAATTTATTGAAACAACAATACAATGAAAAAACAGAAGAAATGCAAAATATTGATGGTGTTAAAGTCAATGTCCCAAAATTTGGAAGTGTATATGCATGTAACAAACTTGACCCTGATGCCCCTGGTAAAACTACTCAATACTTAAAACCATTGATCGATAAATTACGTGCTGAAGGGTATCAAGACCAAATTGATTTATTTTGTGCTGGTTTTGATTGGAGAATATCATCAATATCATCTTTTCAATTTATTACTGATACAATTAATTTAATTAAACAAATTAACACTTCTACTCATAAGAAAGTGATCATAGTTTCTCATTCATATGGTGGGCTCATGACAAAATTTTTGTTTGATAGATTTACTGGATATAATAATTATATTAAAGAATGGATTGCAGTATCTACTCCATGGAAAGGAGCATTCCTTTCCATTCAGGCACTACTCTCAGGACTAGATTGGCTTCCTATTGATGGTCAATTGTTTGCAAATGTTTCAAGGTCAATTGAATCAAATTACCAATTATTACCTCATAAAAACTATTGGGAGAAGAATGATTTAGTTACTATTGAAGATAAATCATATAACATTGATAATCTTGAAGAAATTTTAAATCAATTAACTCCATTTGGAGTAAAATTATATAATAAAACATCAATCAAATTTAATTCCTTACCAGAAATACCTAAATATTGTATATACTCTAGTGGATTTGAAACTGCTGAATATGGGAAATATACAGATTGGACATTTAAAAATAGTCAAATAACATACGGAGATGGAGATAATACTGTCAATTATAATTCATTAATATTCTGTAAAAATCTTGGATTTGAACAGAAACATTTAGGGAAATTATCACATATGGAAATTGTGAATAGTGATAAATTTTTGTCATATCTTCTTCCTCATGTTTGTGAAACACAAAATCAATGAATAAATAAAGATTTACTCATTTCTTCAATTTTAGTTATGATTTGCTTTTTAATGAAAAATCTAAAAAAAATTAAAAAAGATCTTAAAAAATTAACTCAAACAAATATGACTGAAACAGACATACAAACTACTAATCAACTAGACTGTTTTAAAAAATTCTTTGTTTTTGATGACGGATATTCTTCACTTAAAGAAGTCGGTATTAATAGTGGATTTGATACAATGGATATTAGGTCCATTGCATGGAGAATCTTTTTAGGAGCACTACATGGAGTTTGTGGTAATGGATGGATTAAAGAAACACAACAACAACGAAACAAATATCAAATACTTGTTGACAAATTAGAAAATGGACCTATAAGAGAAAAAAATTTAAAAAAGTTAACAGAAGAGAGTGATACTATTCCAGACCCATTATCAATTAATGAACAAAACCCTTGGTGTCAACACTTTAATGAAATGGATGTTGAAAAAAGAGTTGGAGTTGATATTTTACGTTTATTTAGTGAATATGATTTCTTTAGAAATGACCAAGTTAGGGAACATATCAAAAGGGTTTGTGTCATATACTCACTAGAACATAGTGAATTACAATATAATCAAGGATTTCATGAATTAGTAGGTGTATTATATTATTGTATATCAAGAGATATTCAATCATGGAAAGGAACAAAAGAAGTTATGGACAATCTTATGAAAGATGAGTTTAAAGAAAATATCAATGCAGATGTATATAAAGTAATGTCTTATATTTTTGATGAACAATACATGGAACATGATGCATATACTATGTTTGATTTACTAATGCATAGTGTTACAGATTTTTATGACCCAAATGAAACAAGAAATTCTACAATTGAATCACCTGATGGGTCTGCTACACATACTAAATTAATGATAAAATGTGATAAATTATTTAAAGAATTAGAAAAATTAGATAACCAATTGTATTTACATCTTAAATATGAAGGAATTCATTTAGTCATATTTGGAACGTTTGTTTCTTCTGTTTCTTATTACTATTAATCATATAATAAACAAAGCTTAGTCGTTGGTTACGTTTATTATTTGATCGAGAATTCCATGTAATGGATGTTCTTAATGTATGGGATGCGATCTTTGCTTATGGAAACAATTTAGAATTTGTTGATTACTTATTCCTTGCAATGATGATCCAAATAAGAGAACCTATTTTAGAATCATCACAATATTCAACGACAATGATGTTATTCATGAAATATCCAGACATAAAAGATATACATGATGTTATTAATTTAGCAAAAGAACTTGCAGATAAAAAAGGAGATTATGACCCATTACCTTATATCAAACCATTATCTGGAACTACCCTCACTCAAAAAGTTATGGAAATGGGAACTAAACAAAGGGCTCAAAAGAAACAAGAAGAATTTACTGTTCCTAAGCACGTTCAAGAAGATCGGTCTATTGTAGAACAACAACAAGAACAAGAAAAAGTAGAACAACAAAAGAAAAAAGAAGAGGTTGAAACAAATGAATTAGTAAAACAACGAATTAAACATAGTATCCAATTATTAAGTTCATCAATTAATAATGAAGGTGTCATTTCTGATCCTTCTGGAGTTGTAGAAGCATTATCAGAATTAAAATTAGTTAATGCAGTAATGAATGGATTATTACCAACAGAACTTGCTGATGGATATTTTAATATTTTTGATAAAAAAGAATAAACTACTGAATCTTCGTTTTTTAATCATTTCTTTTATTACCAAATTTTATTATTTCTTTCTTCTTTTTATATTAAGAACTAGAAACTGTTCAAATTCTATGAATCAATCCCAATCCCCTGTTGTTTGGTTTCAAAACCAAATTAAAATCTCTAAGAGAAGGGGCTCTCATTTAATCACTAATGAAGTCACTAGATGTGTTTCTCAACAACTCAAAACTATTAAAGTTGGAATGTGTAATGTATTTTGTTTGTTTGCCTTACCATTTATTAGAGAGTTATAGATTAACATAAATTAGTAATGCATACATCTGCTTCATTATGTATTAATGAAAATTGTGATCCATGTTTGTTGAATTTTTTATATCTACTTAGACTATTTTCATATAATGTAGCTGTAAGAAAAGATATGGAAACTATTTTTAATAAACTAATCCCTGACGGAACAAAGCCATATGAACATTGCATGGAAGGAGATGATGATATGCCAGCACATGCCAAATGTTCTATGTTTGGGTGTAGTTTAAATATTCCAATAAGAGAAGGTGGTTTATGTTTAGGGACATGGCAGGGTATCTATTTAAACGAACATAGAGATGACGGTGGGTCAAGAACGATTGTTGTGACACTCAATGGAATTAAATAAAATAATTTTTTTCTTCAAAATCACAAAATTTTACTTTTCTTTAACAAAAAACCCTTTTTTCACTTAAGAGTAACAGTCATTATATTCTTTAAACATGCAACCCTGGAATGGTAGAGAAAATGAATTTAAGTTATTCGAGCAAAGTGTTCGTGGACTTATGAATTGCTGGTCTACATTAAGACTATGTGTTGAACACCAATTTGGTGGTGTTAATTCACAACAAAAAAAAGATTCAATGGTCCAAAGTATTATATCAAAATATAGAACAAAAGGAAATACAATTAACCCACATTCAATCATTGATTTTCTATATAATTTCTTTGAACAAAAAATGAATACAAGTTGTGAAGATGAATCTATTGAAGACGTTGCAGAATTAATAAGCAGGTTATGTGCTGAATGTATTGTGGGTGATACAACTTTAGCACAAAACATTATTGAAGAAGCTAAAAAACCGTTAGACTCTGCTGGGTTCCAACAATTTTTAAATGAAGATGAAGAGTATGAAGAAGATGATGAAAGTGATGACAATAAAAAAGAAGTATCAGACGATGAAAGTGGAGAATATGATCCAAACGCTGGAGAGTATGATGATGAAGATAGTGAAGAAGAAGAAGGGGATACTGATGGTTCAGAAGAGGAAAACAATGAAGAGGTATCAGGAGAAGAAAATGAAAGTAGTGTGAAAGAAGAAGAAGTTTAAAAGAACAGTTTCACATAACATAATGAATAAATAAAAAGTGTTTTTCTCTTTTTAAGAAAAAATTTTTAAGTTTTAGAAATGGTGAATTTTTGATGATAGATAAAGACAAATCTCATTCACATCACTGAACTAAAAATAATAAAATAGAACAAAAAAGTTTC